CATCCATTGAGTCAGTGATGCCATCCAACCATCTCATCCTCTGTCGTCCCCTTCTCCTCCTGCCTTAAATCTTTGCCAGCATCGAGGTCTTTTCCAGTGAGTCAGTTCTTCGCATAAGGTGGCCAAAGGATTGGAGTTTCAGCTTCAGCATCAGTCCTTCCAATGAATATTCAGGACTGATCTCCTTTAGGAAGGACTGGTTGGATCTCCTTGGAGTCCAAGGGACTCTCAAGAGTCCTCTCCAACACCACAGTTCAAAAGCATCAATTCTTTGACCCTCGGTCTTCTTTATAGTTCAACTCTCACATCCATACATGATTACTGCAAAAACCATAGCTTTGACTAGATGGACCTTTGTTGGCAAAGTAATGTCTCTGCTTTTTAATATGCTGTCTAGGTTTGTCATAGCTTTTCTTCCAAGGAGCAAGCGTCTTTTAATTTCACAGCTGCAGTCACCATTTGCAGTGATTTTGGAGCCCAAAAAAGTAAAGTCTGTCACTGTTTCCACTGTTTCCCCATCTATTTGCCATGAAGTGATGTGACCAGATGTCATGATCTTAGTTTTCTGAATGTTGAATTTTAAGCCAACTTTTTCACTCTTCTCTTTAACTTTCATCAAGAGGCTCTTTAGTCCTTCTACTCTTTCTGCCATAATATACTGCCACGATATACTGGGATATATTTATGTTAGGTCTTGTTCCTCAACATATTTATGTTATTAGTTATCCTTCAATATACATTTTTTCTTCATCTTTGATAATAGAATTTTCAGCAGACACCAGTTGCCCAAGATACAAACTCTATTTCTCAGTGCTTATTGCTAGATGTGGCCATACAGCTAAGTTCTAGAACATGAAATATTAGAAACAAAGAAATGTGCTCTTTCTGGGTCCTGCCTTTACCAAGGAGTGTGGTCATCCCGGTACACTTCCCTCTTCTTACTAATCTGGATATGGATAAATGCTCAAGGTGGTAGACCAGTTGGATAAGAGGGTCTAAGGTTCAGAAAACATACCATTCCAAAATTACCTATACCCAATTATTATATATGTGTGAGAGAAAGATGTTGATCAAGCCACTTTTATGCTGATTTTCTGTGAAAACAGATCGATAGCATAAAAGATACTTTTGTTGCCTGTTGGAATGTGAGGTTTTTGTTCAAATGGGAAAATTGGATGTCAAAGTTCAAATCATTTTTATATTACCTTTTGTAGTTTATTCTGCTTGCTAACATGGAATATGTCTTATGAAAGCCAATAAAATATTTTATATATTTATACAACTATTATGGCTATTCAAAAATTGGGGAACTATTTAAATAGTCTCTAGAGAAGACTGAATTTCGGACTCTCTTTAATTAGTAAACCACCATCAAGAACAAATATACTGACTCTTAAAAAAAAAAGTCTAACCTCAAGTCTTTCCGTACATGTTTTCCATCTTCACATCCCATCTGGTTTGAAGAGACCACTTCTTAGACTGTATTCCTCCCCCACATTTCTTTGGAACTTGTCTCTGGGAATTGCTCTTAACCAGCTGCCTTACCCCAAAGACCCACCCACAGCCTATAAGCGCTGGTCACATGCCACATGACCTTCTTGGCTCATGTACTGATGTCTGCTCATGATCTATTTGGTTTTCCTTTGATTTCAGTGGCTTTGATTTAATGATATATTTCACCATATTGAAGGGAATTATTAGCTTAAAAGGTCAACATTTATCTATATTTATTACAAATGCAGTCACTCCAACTGAGACTTCTAATAAGTATGTCTGGCTATCTTTGATGGCCAGAAATATCACTGGAAAACAAGAAAAAATACATCACGCTGAACAACAAATGCCTGCCAATATTTATAGGTTTGAAGGAATTTATGTCTAAATTACAGTGATAACTCTGGAGTAGTATTTCAGTGCATTCTGAGAACTACTCTTAGAAACTCTGTTTTTGTTTTCTTTCCAAGTCTTAGAACCTGATTATACTCCCTCCTGCAAAAAATTCATGTTCATAAATTCACTGACAGATTTGGTTCACTCATATGCCCATCAGATAATGAGCTGATTAAAGTTCTCTAAAATTTTATTAGCTTATTCTGGTTTACCTTTCTAAGCTCTAATCTCAAAGCTGTCACCATGCTTGACAAATAGTTTAAAAGATACAGACAACTTAGCAAACTGCTTTCACAATCAGGCCCCTAAGACCTTAGACATGAAAATGTGGTCCATGTGTCTCTCCAGAAGCTTATCTGGAGATAAGTTTTAAACTAGTTAATACTAGAATTGAGTAATTGATTGAAACTTTTGTTGATATTCTGAAAAAGTCTGTATTTTTGTCATAAAAGTAATAATAATCATAATAACTGTATAAATAAAGGGTCATCTTATGCCATGTAGAAAATGCTTCAAATAGTAACTGAACCCACATCTCCTGAGTTTCTTGTATTGGCAGGTGGATTGTTTACTACTGAGCCACCTAGGAAGATGGTCTAATATTAGGATCTAATATTATTTTGTTTTTGTATCTGTTCATTGTATGCATTTTGCCCAGAATACTATTACCTTTGGGTTTCCCTGGAGGCTCAGCTGGTAAAGAATCCACCTGCAACAAAAGAGACCTGGGTTTGATCCCTGGATTGGGAAGATCTCCTGAAGAAGGGAACAGCTACCCACTCCAGTATTCTGGTCAGGAGAGTCAGACACAACTCAAAGAGTCTCAAAGAGTCAGGCACAACTGAGTCACTTTCCACGAACACCTTTTATAAAAAATATATAGCCCCAAAATGGAAAATGCCCTGCCTCTAACCTTTTACTTCTGTTATCTCAAAGTAAATGTTGTCAACAATTTTGTGCCTATTTATCTAGAATTATTCATATTCTTATTTAGGCATCTAGAGAGGGTCATAACCCATCTATATTTCTATCTATATCTGTATCCACATATTTCATCTTATCAGACTGAGACACACTACAAATATTGGCCTGCCACTGTCTTTTTCTACACACACTATATCATGAGTACCGTTCAGTTAGAGAACATGATCTCACTCCATCTTTTTCATGGCTGCATACCATTCCAAACTACAGATTAAACAATCATTATACACTAAACAATGATTATATATCCTTAACTGATGGAAATTTGTGTTGTGTCCTTTTGTAAGTAACATACAATGCAATGATAGACATATCTGTACATATGTATTTATGCATTTGTTTTATTATTTCTTTTGGTAAAGTTCTAAAATGGCTAGTGGGCAACTTGAAGCTATTATAACATGCATTCAAAATCAAATAGAACAAAAATTCCTACACACTGATTCTAGAGATTTCTTCTCTTGTAACCATACTTTTCTAGAATAATTTCCAAACCTCAAATTTTGAATTTAATCTGTTTATTACAAAGCACCCCAAATGAGTTGTAGAGTCAAAACAAATACTCCTCCAGACAATGCCATAATACTTTAGACTGATGAAATGCTTAAAATAGAACATTTAAGTTAGAACTTGTAAATGAGATATAATTATGGCTCTCATAATGCAACCATGCTATAGTGACACATCCAAGAGCAAATTCCTTCCTGCATTCTTAGAATTGATATAAGTGTCCAAGTGGTGAGCATATGTTTCTGGAATGTTTAATGTTCCTGTCGGCAGTTGGGCAGGGTCTGTCATATTTTAGGGGAACTATGTCATAGGTCAGTTAATACTTTCTTATGTCATTATTGCATTCCCTCCAACAGATTTGATTGACTATATGGACATTTCTGAAAAAGCAACCTGAGCATTCCAATCATAACAACTTTATGCAATATTAACATTCTAATACAGTTTATGTAAGGAAGGAAGAGTTCGCCAGAAGCACAGAATGCTCTCTGGGCATGTATTAACAGTTTGAGCACATTGATCTTTGCTATAAAGTTTTGACTTCACTTAAACTTACGACACATTACTGATCTAGTTTGTTAGCAAAACCACGTTTACGGTTTATGGAAACCAGATTTCCTCACCAAGAGGGAGCTGGAGTTTTTGCTTCTCATTGTTGATAGCTCCAGTTGTGAAAAACTGAGAAGTTTAGTTTTGTCTTAGGAGAGCTGGAATTATGGACTCATATTCTTTCAAGAAGGGCAAGGTTGCTGCCCTGAAATGTCCAATCTGCAGGGTTGTTTTTTTTTTTTTAATGTCAATGGCATGTTAGATTTACAGAAGAAATGGTACTCGTATTTGCATCAAGATTATAGAGTACTACATTGTGGGAAGAATGCTGGGGAAATCCTAAAGGTATGACAAACTTTAGTTAAGAGTTCTCTAACTAAAGCATGATTCATGTAGTTTGTTCCAATCCTTGTGGCTCTCACTTGCACACTTCTTAAGGGATCATGGTATCTATAGGATCAGTCAAAGGTGCCTCAGCATAACATTTTATTTGTTATTGATCCTTTTGGTCAGAAGTTAACAGAAAGTTCATACAGCTATGGATAGCAAATATGTCAGGGTATCATTTAAAATAGCATTAGCATATTTTGGAGGAGGGGGTACTGTTGCCTTAGAATATGCAAAGGGCTCATTTAAAATATGTGACTTATACCACTTTTATCATAATAAAATATATTTTCTAAAGGGGAAAGAGAAACAAATTGAAATATATAATTTTAATTTAAAGATAGGATATTCTTTCAGAAAATTAGAGATTATCCTTCAGATCTATGAGCTATCTGGTGGCTATTTAATTCCAAAGAAAGTGAAATCAGTTCTGTCTTCAACACAATTCCAAAATAAAATGTTCAGGAACCATTATAAATATTATTAGTGAAATAGGTTATCCTGTTTTAATTTTTACATATTTTGATGATTTTTCCAAGATTCTGTTTAAGTCATACAGCTACACTACAGGGCAAAAGAAACATCGACATATCTTTTTAACCCTAGCAAAAATAATAAATGATGGAAACAAGGATATTTACAAAATTCCAAAAGCCAGATAATTGGTGCATGAGTCTTACCTTTCTTTTACGAAGTCTGACTTGGTTATCTGTGGGTTCCTGGGTGGCCAGAGTCTCCTTGAAGTGTAAACACTGCATGCCATCTCCTGAGTTGAACTTTGGAAGACTTTTGTTTTGATGTTCTGAGAAACCACTCGTCTCCAGGCCATTTTCAGTTGACATTCCACTAGGGCAGGAAGGAGGCTGCAGAAGGCAGCTTCCAGGATCTGTTTTTAATAATGGCAGTCCTCTGTCCATACGAGGAATAGCCAATAACTTATCTTGCACTGCACTGCAGGTGTTGCTTTCATGTTCATCTTTAGGGAAGTCGGGTTTCCTTCGATGCTGAGCAATTACAGCAGAATTAAGCAATTGCTTTTCTGGCACAGTATCCTTCACATTCAAAGAACTGCAAGCATTCATTTTGGACGGATCTTTTATTTCACTTAAGCTTATCTCCTTACAAAGCTCCAGGCTTTTACTCACCATGTCAACAGCTTTCCTGTCCCCCTTTTCCTCAACCAGCCCTAAATCAACTCCACCAGCCATTCCCCAAGAGTCACAAGAATCTTGGTTACTTTCCACAATGGGTAGCGTCTTTACTAAGGAGCCTGCTCCTTTGACGCTATATTGGTCTGATGTTTCAGGTCCTTGAGTAGTTAGAATCTGTTTATCATCTGTGAGATACAGATCAGAATCGGTGTCCTCATCAGAAACATGCACGAGTGTTTCTGTGCTGGCCTCCAGAGAAAGAAACTGATCTTCACCTTCGTGGCTGTCATCTTCATCTACCTCCTTTGAAATGTGACCCATTGGCCTCCCAGGAATCTCTCTCAGCTCTGAGCCATGACAGCAGTCTGGGAGTGAAACACACCTCTCTTTGCGGTCCACATTTAGAATTGCATCTTTTTCCATACTTGCCTGCAAGCTGTCAGCTACTAGTCCATGATGACATGCTGTGTTACAATCATCAGAACTAAAAGGCTGTCCCATCCATTGGGTCACATGTTCTTCCCAGCTTCTCTTTCTGATAGCTACAGACATGTCATCGTAGTTTAACAACAGACAGAGAGATACATTCTGTATGAGACTAAAGGAGATGAAACTTGATGAAAGATTACTTCAAATTCACTGATTGACGAATAGAGGAAGTTTTGTCATTTCACCACCTATTAAAAAAATAAAATACATACATATAGTTCAGGATATAATTCTAAAGTCAAAATTTATCTTGGAAAAGAGAGTGCTTAAGCAATGCTATAAAAGATTAAATAAGAGGTTTCTATAAAGCTTCCAATCAACAACCTTAATAGGGTTATTTCTTCAAGAAGCAGGCTAATAGGAGAAGAAAATTTTACATTTAGTATCTCTGGTCAAAAATCATTGACAATACTTTTAAATGTAGCTGGACTGATTGACCTATTAACTGATTGACTGCTACCCAGTAGCACTAGTGGTAAAGAACCTGCCTGTCAATGCAGGAGACAGAAGAGATGTGGGTTTGATCCCTGCGTTGGGAAGATCCCTGGAGGAAGAGATGGCAACACACTCCAGTATTCTTGCCTGGAGAATCCCAAGGACAGGAGAGCCTTGTGGGCTATGGTCCATAGGGATCACAAAGAATCAGACATGACAGAGCAAGTGAGCAGGAGCACGAGCATGTGTGTGTGTATAATTTAAAATTCCACTAGGAAAATATCTGGACTGCTATACTTAATAATTCACCAGAAGCAACTAGTTGCTCTAGCTTACACGCTTCCCTGGTTAACTTTTGTGGAAACAAATTGCTACAGAAATCTATTGGCTGTTTGGTTTGAATTGCACTGAAGGTCACCAGGAACTGCTCATGCAAAACCTGAGCTACAGGGACAGCACGTGTAATATATTAGCATGTGAAAGAGCTAATACAGACCCCAAATCACCAGGACACATTTACTCCAGGGAGTGACTATGAAACTCCGGGGTAATCCAGTTTAGTTCATATTAACACAGAATTCATGCATAAGAAGGCATACCACACGCCATTTGCAATGCCTTAGGTTAAATGGGCTTCCCAGGTGGTTCCCATGGTAAAGTGTCTGCCTCAGTGAGGGAGACCCGGGTTCGATCCCTGGGTCGGGAAGATCCCCTGGAGAAGGAAATGGAAACCCACTCCAGTACTCTTGCCTGGAAAATTCCATGGACGGAGGAATCTGGTAGGCTCCAGTCCATGGGGTCGCAAAGAGTCAGACACAACTGAGCGACTTCACTTTCAGGTTAAATATATTTACATACATCCCTTTGCTACTATGACCAGTTTGCAAGCTAGTATTGTTAAAGCTTAGAGAAGTTAAATGACTTGCTAAGGCTACATATCTTGGGAAAAGCCTGGATTCAAAATAGGCGCCAGTTCTAAGACCCAAAGAGGCAACAAACTTCATTGTCTCCATGTAATGAGATTCTACAGCCTTCGTTTCCCCCTAGACATCTTTAATAGGTATAAAATCTAAACTATTCAGGTAAGGATTCAGGTGAATCAAAAGAAGATGTGAGCACAGTAAGACAATTGAAACAGTTCTTTAGGAATTTCAGCCTGATTCTGTTTGGCTTCCAAGGAGTTTAGTTTGTATATTTCTGTTAGAATTTGGCCATAAAAATTTTAAGTAAACAAGAAAGCCAGGCATAAGATAAGGTCAGGATGTAAACACATTCCAGATATCCATCCATCCTCTCTGCCTTGAATTATTCAAAGCCTTAGTTAAAGGCAACAAATTACACCAATGTAAATGCAAACGACTGAGCGACTGAACTGAACTGAACTGAACTGAAACGCAACCTTATAAAAATGACTAATCCAAATGTGTTCCATAATGAAACCTAATGACTGAACTGTAAAAGAAAAATCTCATTCAAGAGCAGACACTTCCAGTTTCTACGCCACATAAGAACGGTCAGCATATAACATGGACTGGCTTATTGATTTCAGTCATAAACAAGATTAACCGCGGAGATGGTTTCGGGTCACTGCAGTCTATTGAAAAGGAGTCTGACTGCCCACCAAAAATTTCAAGCTATTCTGACTAAGCACATGCCAGAAAGGTAAATATTCTCATCCTGTAAAGACCAGGAATGTACTAGAATTCTGGTACCCCAGACTGACCAAATATCATTCTGGATGCTATTTGGTTTCCTTAGAGGTCTGTGTGTATCTTTTTGAAAATGGCCAGTGTTCACATTTTCCATGTTGGCATTCATTTTGCATTCAAAAGAAAAATATAAAGTCCCTGAATTCCATGCATAAGTCATTATCGTGTGGGAGGCTACGGAAAGTGGAAAAAACGCATAGATGCAGGCCAGAAAATTTCTGCTTTCATGGGCAAATTTGGGTTGTAATAGGGCGGTTCTGTTTTAGATGCTTTCTTTTCTTTATTTTTATCCAGCATAGAAAGAGCAGGCTAACTTAAGAAATGCCAAGTGGTATTACTGTGTCATTCCTAAGCCACATTTACATTTAAGTTGAGGCTGACTTCTGGTTTTATTTCTTTGGTGAAGAAGGTGAAAGAGTTTTATTAACCCCTTGGGGAACAGATTACATAGAAGTTTTGCCTTTAAGTCCTTACCATATTAGTTAACTTAGTGCACTCAACTTTGGCAAGTATTTTTATAATATCAAAGGAAGACAGTTAAACAGTTCTGAGGCAATCTAGATGCAGAGAGAGACTGTAAATTAGACAAATTCATACAGCATTAACTCCTTCTGTCCTAATTTCTTATCTAGGTCTTTTGGACATTTCCAATATCATTCCTGTGAATTTGTAGTGTCTTCGTCTCAAAGACATAAAATTTTCTAACTTTCAATATGACCATCACCACTATAGTATGGATGTTCATTCCAAATCCTGTGATCTGATAAGATTTCTTTTTTTAAATTATCTCAACAAGCTTTCTTATTCACACTTCTTAATTAAATTCTGATTTGTAAGATTTATAGTTAAAAATCTGTCTTCAGGATCTAAAGGTCAAAAACAGTATTAATTAAAATATGATTATTATTGTTTGGGCTGCCCAGAGAGTGCTAAGGGTAAAGAATCTGACTGCCAATGCAGGAGATGCAAGGGACGCGGGTTCTATTGCTGGGTTGGGAAGATCCACTGGAATAGGAAAATGGCAACCCACTCCAATATTCTTGCCTGAAAGATTCCAATTCCATGGACAGAGGAGCCTGGCAGGCTACAGTCCATGGGGTCACAGAGTCAACACGGCTGAGTGACTGAGAACATTATTGTTCATCACATATGAGCACCCTGGACTCATTTTCTAAGTCTTCTGAATTGACTTGAATTTGTCCTGTAAGATTCAGAGGTCTTTGTAAAAGACCTAAGTTTCCCTTCGAGCCTTCTCACCAGGCTGCCTTATTCAAAATTACATTTCTAACTACTGATGACTTACTTTGCAAACTGCTATTACCAGTTTTTAAAATAATCGTTATTATGCGCTTTCATTCAGAATGAGCTCAGCTGCTCAGGGCTTGGATGAGGGATCTGGAAAAGTATAAGTCATTCTAGGGTGTTGATTTTATGAAGTGAATTTCCATGGGGATTTTTCACTTCTTAAATGTATATGTTCAAACACCACTGTATTAATGTAACAAGAAGCCCTATGTACCTCTAATTATGTAATGATTCTGGAAAATATTTGTGAAATGTCCACATTTGCTTTTTGTGATGTTAGGGCATAGGATGTTTGGACACAGAGTGATTTAAAATGTATTATGTGGGCTCATTTTATAACACTTACCACCCTTTGACATAAGCATTTTGTAGTATACAGTCTGTATTTTAAAATGATCAAAGTTGAACATAGTACTAAAAAACAATGGAAAATATTCTAGTTTGAGAATTCCTGGCTTATTTCTGACATCAAGCTATCATGCTCTCTTTTGCAACTGCTCCTGAAATGAACACACATTTTGTATTTTGACCTGGCAGTGGTCCTCAGGGAAGAAGAACCCAATGGGAATCACTACTGCTGACACTATAGCCTGGGAGAACTCAGTGCAAATTAAGTACTTGTGGTTGAAATCAAGTGGGCAGTACCTTAGAACCGAAAGCAACACTGCCTGATCATAGTCATTTATTCAACAAGTGTTCATTTAGGACTGAACAGGCTACAGAAGGCTTCCCAGGTGGCTCAGTGGTAAAGAATCCGCCTACAAATGCAGGAGACGCAAGAGACACAGGTTTGATCCCTGGATTGAGATGATCTCCTGGAGTAGGAAATGGCAATCCACTCCAGTATTTTTGCCTGGGAAATCCCATGGACAGAGGAACCTGGTGGGCTATAGTCCACGGGGTCACAAAGAGTCAGACACAACTGAGTGACTGAGTGTGCACGTCTGGGCTGCAGACAGTCTGCTAAACATTGGGAACATAAACCTAAATATATATTAACTTGTTTTGTCCTTTCAGAGCACAGATGACATATATAGATATACATACACATATATAAATAAATACACACACACACGCACATGCACATGATTGACTCCTGGGTTGTTTTAGACACCTTCACACAGATGCTGCATATTAACAGAAGGGAAAATAAAGGCATAATAGTACTGCTGGTTTCTCTGTATTTTCCTACTTTCTTCTAGATGGCTTGGCTGGAATTACTTCTGGTTTTCCTTTATGTTTTTCTTCTTAATTACTCATCCTGTATTAACTTTCTAGGTCATGTTTTTCTCCTACTACTGTTATAATGTATATGTGCTTATGTTTGTGTGCATGTGTGTGTGTGTAATAGCTACCACATAGTATGTATTCAGTCACTGGAAGAAGGAAGGAATATTATAAGGGAAATAATCTCCTTTTAATCAAAAGTAAGATAAACTCCTTCCCTGATGGCTCAATGGGTAAAGAATCCACCTGCAATGCAGAATACACAGGAGACCCAGGTTTGATCCCTTGGTCGGGAAGACTCCTCAGGGTAGGAAATGGCAGCCCACTTCAGTATTCTTGCCTGGGAAAACCCATGGTCAGAGAAGCCTGACGGACTATAGTCCATTG